GCCGATGGCTTCCCCCCGGAGCTGCGGGCTGGCCCCGAGGCACAGAGCTGGCTAGTGTCCCTGCGGGAGCTGCATGCCGAGGTGGCCGCCCTGGCCGAGCAGCGGGGCCGCCAGCTGCAGGATGCCCTTGACCTCTACACTGTTTTTGGGGAGAGCGACGCCTGCCACCTCTGGATGGGGGCCAAGGAGACGTGGCTGGGGCAGCTGGAGGTCCCTCAGGCGTTGGAAGACCTGGACGTGGCACAGCACAGGTAGGGGCTCCCGTAGTGGCGGTGCTGCTGTGCTGTGTCCCGAGGTGCGGCCCGTTCTCAGCCCGGCCGTCCCTGCAGGCTGGACGGGCTGGAGCAGGAGATGGCCACCGTGGCTTCCCAGATTGCCGCCGTCAACCAGGCAGCCGATGGGCTGCTTGCAAGCAGGCACCCCCGCAGTCCCCAGGTCCGGCAGTGCCAGGAGCAGCTCAATGAGAGGTACGGTGGTGGGCGAAGCTGGGGTGAGTGGGTGATGCCAGGGTGGTTGTGCCGGTCCCCACCAGCTGCATCCTCTGCTGCTACCTGCCTCTGCCCCACAGGTGGGACCGGTTCAGGGAGCTGGTGTCGGAGCGTCGCCAGGCGGTGGGCTTGGCACTGCGCCTCCTCAACTACCGTCTGGAGTCCGAGGAGACCCGGCAATGGCTGCAGAGCAAAGCCCAGGCAGTCAAGGCCACCGCCGAGCTGGGCCGGGACCTGGCCGGCGTCCTGGCCACCCAACGCAAGCTCTATGGCATCGAGCGGGAGCTGGCGGTTGCCGAGGGCCGCCTGGCCACCCTGCGCTCCCAGGCTGAGCACCTGGCCAAGGAACGGCCCGAGGTGGCCGGGGAGGTGGCTGAGCGGCTGGGGGGGGGGGGGGGCGCCCCGGGTTTGGCCGCCTGGGAGGAGCTGCAGGAGGCCCTGGGGGAGCGGGCAGCCTCCCTGGGGGAAGCCGGACAGCTTCAGCGCTTCTTGCAGGACCTGGATGACTTCCAGGCGTGGCTCTTCGGGGCTCAGAAAGCCGTGGCAGCTGCTGATGAGGTGCCGGCTTCTTTGGCCGAGGCGGAGGAGCTGCTGCAGCGGCACGAGGCTGCCCGGCAGGACGCGGCCGGGCACACGGCCGCCTTCACCGCCTTGGTGGAGGCGGGAGAACAGGTGGTGGGGGAGCAGACAGACCCCCAGTATGAGGCACTGCGGCAGCGCCTGCATGGCGTGGAAGCCGGCTGGGCCACCCTGGGCAGGATGGCAGAAGCCCGGCACCGCTTCCTAGCCCAGTGCCACGGCTTCCAGGAGTTCCTCCGTGATGCCAAGCAGGCGGAGATCCTCCTCACCAACCAGGTGGGTGCGCAAGGGGGGTTCCGGGGGAGTCCCTGGCTCACGGGCACCCCAAAGAGGCACTGACCCCCCGCCGTGCCCCCCAGGAGTACACACTGGCCCACCTGGAGCTGCCCGCCACGCTGGAAGGCTCGGCCGCCGCCCTGCGCCGCTTCCAGGACTTCCGTGCTGGCGTGGAGAGCAGCGCCGAGAAGGTCCCTGAGACAGTGGCTGGCGGCACCAAGCTGGTGGCCGAGGGGAACATCTTCGCCGAGAAGATTGCCGAGAAGTGCCAGACCCTCCAGGAGCGGTGAGTCTGGCGAGGGGCGGGCGGGTGGGCAGCGTGCGGGCAGCAGGGCTGACGCTGCCCGTCTCTGGTCGCCCTGCCAGGCACGGGGCTGTCAAGGCCAAAGTGGAGGAGGCGGCGGGTTTACTGCAGGACAACCACGAGCTGCAGACCTTCCTGCAGAGCTGCCGGGAGGTAGGGATGCGGCACGGCCGGTGGCGCCGGGGGGTCCCTGCCAGCCGAGCCCTGACACCTCTTGCCTGCAGCTCAATGCCTGGATGGAGGAGAAGATGCTGACGGCACAGGATGCCTCCTACGGCGAAGCCCGTGGCCTCCATGGCAAGTGGCAGAAGCACCAGGCGTTCATGGCTGAGCTGGCACCCAACCAGGGCTGGCTGGAGAAGATTGAGATGGTGGGTGCCAGCACCGGTGCCTGGAAGCCTCACTGCTCCCTGGCCGGGTGGGAGGTCGCCATGCCGGCGTGGAGCCGCGCTGCGGCGGCCACCAACCTCTTTGGTGTTGCTGGCAGGAAGGGAAGGAGCTGGCGAGCCGCAAGCCGCAGTACGGCGAGGTGGTGGCACGGCAGCTGGATGAGCTGCGGGAGCGATGGGACAGGCTGTGTGACGCCGCCAAGGAGAAAGGCCGGCAGCTGTTCGAGGCCAACCGCTCGACGCTGTACGCCCAGAGCTACGGGGAGCTGGAGCGCTGGCTGGGGCAGGCGGAGGAGGAGCTGCGTGCTGCCGAGCAGGCCAAGGACCTCACCGCCACCAACCTGCTGCTGAAGAAGCTGACGGTGGGTGGTGGCACTGCCAGCTGAGCGGCTGGGGTGGCGGAAGGGTGTTGGCTCCTCATCCTTTCCTTTGAGGTGTGCTGCCCCCTGTTTGGAGTGGGGGGTCTGAGGTGCTGGGTCATGTCCCCAAACGGGGCTGGCCGGTCCCCAGCTTGACTCTGCCCCCCGGCTCACACGGCTTTTCCCTGCCAGAGGCTGGAAGAGCAAGTAGGAGCGCGGATGAAGGAGCTGGAGGAGCTAGGGTGGCAGGGGCCATCCCCTGCTGGGGATGTGCCAGACGCTGACGGGCATGAGCAGAGGCTCCGGCGGCGATTCCTTGACCTGCTGGAGCCGCTGGAGAGGAGGAAGAAGGAGCTGGAGACCGCCAAGGCCATGTACCAGCTTGGGCGGGATCTGGAGGATGAGACGGTGAGCATCTTTGCCGTGGCAGGGTCTGGTGTGGCAGGGGCAGCCAGGGGTGCTGCACGGCGCTCAGCGGGTGCTCTTGCTTGCAGCTATGGGTGCAGGAGCGGCTGCCCCTTGGCAGGGGGGCGGGGCCCCGGCCCCGCCCCCCCCGGGGGGCACGGCCTGG